TCCGTACCCTTCGCAATATTTAGGGCAACGCCACAATGTGGTCGGGACCGGGCGGTTGAGAACAATAATTCCACCCCTGATCGTTTGACTCGATTTTTCTCGGGAAACGTCAATTCAAATTAGTAAGAGTGTATTAGTTTTTGATAGTTTATCTCCTTTGAATTTGTAATATTTCAAGAGAATTTATCATTTGTTTTGTGTGCATTTACTTCAACACGCAATCATATAGTGTAGTTTTTGCTGATTTTATCGTGTTCGGAAAGAAATTAAAAATCAGAGTGAAATCAAAAACTAAAATCTGGCAACGTAAGTAAAATCGTTTAAAATTCCAGGCGACTAATGAGACAAATTTCAATGCAAAAATGGGACTGTCTTTGAGAATAAATACCATAGGCATATAGAATTCCAGGCGATCCAACGGCACGCTTATAAGTTAGTCTAGAAATAATTATGTGACCCTTTCCATTTGAGGGTGCGCGCGGAGCTATACTTATTTTACTCCGAATACAACGAAAATGATAATATTAGCAATCCTCCGGTCTTAACCGCATTCTAAATAAAGAATTTATTTTATGTTAAAATGACGTGAGACTGAGATCCGCCTTTATTAAGGAAAAGGAAAGGAAATATTTGTTGTATCGAACATAGGTTATTTGTCCAATGTTGTGAAGCTGTACATTTAACTTATTTGAATAGCGTTAATGTAGATTTTTCTCGTAAATGGAAATTTTACCTAATATGAATCATAAACAATCATTGCTCCTTAGTCATTTTCCGGTCTATTCTGTGATTTTTCAACGCTGTCAACGCATTCTGCATGCAAACATGTACATTAAAATTCCGATTTCTTTCCTAATCTCAGAAAAAATAATTCATTGCTCCGGTATATTTGCATCATACAATAGTATTTCAAACAATTTTTAGCTCTTGAATGAACGAGCATGCATTCCAAAATTTTTAGCATGTCATAAAGAACAACATTTTTAAAATTTCAATTTTTAGATTTATGAGAAACATTTGAAGAGGAAGAGACAAGAAGAGTTTGGAGATTTGATGAATTTCCCCAACATATTCAAAATTCTTGAGTTTTTTTAAATAAATTTACCAAAATTTCGTGAAATGTCAAAATTTCACTATTTGCCTAGGTATTTCATAAAATGCCTGATTATTGCCTGCGACATATCGATGCCCCAAATGCTATACCACGTATCTCCGTTTGGCAGACTTCCTATCATACTTTACTTTTTTTTTGGAAAACTAGTCATCGTAATTTCTTGAAAAAGTTCTTGATTTTTTCAATCAGGCAGCATGAAATGTAGACAGGTTAATTCTGCCAGGCCAAGGAAAAACGTCACATGAGCCTCCAAGAGTTGCCAAATATTCTTTGATAAAACACTAATTTCCTAGTAAACTTATGAATATTTTTCTTCCAATTTTTCAGATAATTTTGTTTGCACTTTCACCAGAAATTCCTAAAAATCTCGAGGAAAAATAGTTATAACTTTTCTCCAAAGTAAGCATTTTACCGGAGGAAGTTTGCCAAGGCTCGAAAGTTCATATGGCGCTCTTCCTTGGCGCGGTAGAATTCTAGTTAAAACCTAGGCTCCCACACACCCCTTAAGAACGGTGCTGTTCCGGGAACAAGATTGCACGAGAACGATCATACTGCCGTATGAGCTTTCAGACGTTGCCATATTTTCTTCAATAAGTACATAATTTATTTAGGAAAATTGTGAATATTCTCCCTCAGTTTTTTTCAGACAATTTTGTTCACAATTTTATCGAAACGTCTGAAAATTGCAAAGAAAAATATGCATAATTTTCTTCAAAAATACATGCTTTTTTTCGAGGCAATTTGGCAACTCTCAAAAGTTCATACGGCGTTCTTCCTAAGCAGGGCAGCATACATGCGTAAGTAAGTTGAAGGGAGGAGGAAAGCACGTATCGATTTTCGAATACTATTCAAATTATTCAAATTACACCGCCGCGATAATCGATATCCAAAAACACCGGGTCTACATTAGGTCTTCGCTGAGGTTACGTCTTTCTTAATTAGGGGGGCAGATTGCACACTCCCCTTTCAAGCACCCCAACGCGTGGGGCTTTCACCTGCGGTATCTATCTATCAATAATTCTAAAGCTCCGGAGCCGCAAACTTTGGTGGCGTCGGGCGCGACTTACTTTCAACTTGCGTCGCACAGTGGTTCGAGTCAATGGGAAAGGTCGGACAAAATTTAGAAACTTTAAAAGCTTTTAACTCCGTTCATACAAAACTTTGAGGTTTTAAAAGTGGTTCCATTGGTTTCCTCGTGAAATTCTCATACAGGAGCACCCCTTGAAATTTAAAATGTGACGAATTAAACATCAAAATTTTCAGTTGTAGTTAAAAATTTCATGTCCGACCTTCCCGATTGACTAGATCCACTGTGCGCCGTGGCTCCGCGGTCTCAGGGCGGAGAGGAGGCTTTTACGCGATTAAATTTCAATTTACGCTTCCTCGGAACAAGAACATCGATGAATGATGACTTCAGATCTTATTTCGGGGGTCTGCGAAGTTTTCGGGGGGCAAACAGCTGGGGAGGGTATTATTGGCTTTGGCCCGGATGAATTCTTCGCTGCATGTGTGCGTGTGTCAACGTTTAATTTCTGATTGAGAAGTTTTGACGCGACCCTGGGGCTCTGGCTTGGAGTTGGTGTTTCTGTTGGATTGCCAAGAGTGAGTTACTCACAAAAAATGTGCCTCTTCCACGGAGTGACTTTATCGTTGGTGCCAAAGAGTTTTCAATTAAATGAAACCTACCGAACGGAGTCGACACTTCACTGGAAAAAAAACACATTGGATCTAGAGTCCAGACTCTTAAATACATCGACAAGAAAAAGTACTCTTGATTCAATCAGAACCTAGCTTTAATCAAGAACAAAGCCTCTTAATTTGAGCGGATTTCGTTTTGATTCCGAATTGAATCAAGAGTATTTTTTCTTGTCAATGTTTTCAAGAGTCTGGACTCAAGATCCAATGTGTTTTTTTTCCAGTGTTGCGGGAAATGGAAACTGAAGAAAAAAAAATTCTTGTATCTCTTGGAAAAAAACTTTGACAAGGAAAACTACTCTCGATTCAATCGGGTTCCTGCTTGAATTGAGAGCCAAGCCCCTTAATTTAAGCGGATTTTTTTTTAATTCAAGAAAAACTCCAATTGAATCAAGAGTAGATTTTCTTGTATTTGTTAAGAGTCTGGGCTCGGAATTCAAGATAATATTTTTTCCGGTGAAGAAATGAGGAAATGGGAAACGAATTTGATGCATGCAAGAGATCCAGCCAAGAAAATACACTTTCTATGGGTCCTTTTAATTCAAGCAAAAATCCCATTAAATCAAGAGTAATTCTTTCTGTCAATTTGTAAGAGTCCGGGCCTCGAGATCCAAGAGTCTTTTTTCCCAGTAAAGAAATGAGGAACTGGGAAATGAGTTCGATGCACACAGGAGATACAGTCCAGAAAATAGACTGTCAATGGGTAAAATTGCCAGAAAATCATAATAGGCACATCAAAAAATTCTGAAATCCACTTATTGGTATTGTCTGAGTAGTCCTCGGGAAATTTTTCTTAGTGGCTGGAATTTAAGGTTTCCCAAGGAGAAATGCAAGAATTTAAAAATTAAGAATTAACAACTGTTACAAATTTTCCTAACGTAAGATTTTGCTTGATTTATAGAGCTTTTTTTTTTCAAAGAAGGAAGTGAAAATTTTGCCTTTGTTACTGATTTTTGCAACCGTTCAACAGCCAATACCCGCATCGATGCCCGTAGACTGAACCTCCAGTTTGATCGTGAGTAACGGGTTTTTAAACATCACGATCGAGATGCCTTTTTTTCGGATTTAGACGCCGATGTTTGGCGAACCGTTGCGTAGGGTATGACGGAAAGCTGCTGCGATTTCGGATGCGGATTACGCAATAGTTTCCAGCAGTTTGACTGTTTGAGCTAACCTTGCCGTGATGGCTTTGGAGGCCAGAGCCCTTCGATGAAGCACAAAAAGTTTTCAACGCGAGCTATCGGCTCGAATAACAGAGGAGAAAAGGAAGAAAGAGAATGGAGCTTCTTGAAGTCTCTTGCGCACCAAGTCAAACACCAAGATGGTCTGCAACTCCTCACGGGAGAAAAGTGTCTTTTTGAAAATCTTTCCCTAAATTGTCTTTTATCACATTAGGAAAAAAAGTCGCTTGGATCTAGAGTCCAGACTCTTAATGACAATGACAAGAAAAATTACTCTTGATTCAACCGGACTTTTTGCTTTTTGCTTGAATCAAAAAGAAATCCGCCTAAATTAAGAGGCTCGATTTTTGATTCAAAGAAAAATCGTATTGAATCAAGAGTATTTTTTCTTGTCATTGTTATTAAGAGTCTGGACTCTAGATCCAAGCGACTTTTTTTCCAGTACAACATAGAAATATCGAGAGTCCGTCACCTTCCGGCCAAAATATCACAAGCGCCATGCGATGTTTTAAAATTTTCGCCGACACTTTATTTTTTCGTAGAGAAACTTTTCAACGAAGCTGTCAGAAAATTTCACTGCATTTTTTCTGTGCCGCCGATCCATTCAAAGATAGGAAGCAAATACATTGACAGGGCTGCCACTTTATTTGGGGGCTCTAGAACTAAAAACACAGCGCAACCCTGCTATGTATTTGCTCCCTATCTTTGCATGGAAAGTTTGTCTGGATGTAGAGGTGGACTCTCAGGATAGCGTGGGATATCCCCTCCATTTTGGCCTCAACTTGAGAGCTTTTTTTGAGCTTGAGAGTTGATTTTAGAGAAAACCAGTGGTACCATCGTGTTTCTCGCAAACTTTTACATAAGAATCAACAGTCAAATCGCAAATCCCTCCCACATGCAACATCTCCATTGACATCATAGTTTGGACCGAAATGCTGATTAGAACACGTCGGTAAGTAATGGGGGAAAAAAGAAAGAAGGTACAAATATTGGTTGAAACTTTCAATTACCTGGAAAAAACTTGATTGAGTCCGAGAGGCGACAATTCAAAGATTTCAGCAGAATGGATTCCCGTTAAAAGAAAAAAGTATTAGTTTGGAAAATTCCCCGTTTACAGGCGACACAGACACAACAAACACTACAACGCACCCAAGCACAAACAACTAGCAACGATTCGAAAAATAACAATCCATCGCTAACGCGGTGACGAGCAAAAACGTCCTGTTATCACTTTCGACACGTCAACCGTTTTAATAAACTTGTCAGGCCGAAAATATACCTGTAGACAGTATACGAATGTTAGGAATTACTTCGCGAGCTTAAAACACGACCGGCTTGAATTGATAAGAGTAATCATGTTAGGCTAATTACCACACGAAAGACGAATAGAAAACGCTTTTCGAGAGGTTCAATTTTCTGAGACGAGGGAAAATTATTGGAGATTCTAAAGAAATACGAAATCGACGCAATTTTGGACAGTTAACGCGAAAATCTTGATCACCAGTGCATAAAAGTTGACTCGTAACGTGTAGGCAAATCAATTACCAGAACACTATTCACACAAGTACGTAACGGTTAAAAATATTAGGGGGCTCTCCGGATTATTTTACACAAAAATTTACAATTTCCAAACGGAATTCATTCGAGGAGTGAATCTTACACGTGCGAATCTCACGATCAATTTTTTCACAAATTCGAATGGCGGCACAGCTGGCAACTTACGCGTGTTTCACAGAGGTTTGAACGACGACACTCGCACAAGTTTCGACGCTGCAGCAAATATGTTTTCACGTGTTTATTAGACGACGCTCGCTGACAAGTTTTCGCGAGTTTCAACACACACCGGTGCAGTTTTCACGTGTTTCGCGAGGCTTCACGACGGCACTCGCAAATAAGTTTACGCGAATTTCAACACACACCGGTAACGTTTTCACGTGCTTCGCGAGGCTTTACGGCGGCACTCGCGGGCAAGTTTACGCGAGTTTCGACACACACCGGTAACGTTTTCACGTTTTTCGCGGGGTTGAACGACGACACACCGGGATGAATTCACGCACGACGAACACAACTTGACGCGTGTTTCGCGAGGTTTAAGGGACGGCACACGGGGAGGGTTGACGCATGTTCGGACGTCGGAAAACACGCGGGCGGGATCGGCGCGGCGCCACACGTGGTACGCGCGACAGTGCCGAAACGTTTACTGATTGTCGCGGCGTGGCGGAGCTATTGCCCTACATCGGCGCACAGCGCGTGAACGGCGCGGCGTGAACCTCAACCAGTCTCGATAACGCATGCCCCCGGCTAGGGGCGGGGGGACCGGGAGGGAGGGGCGCGGGGGGTCCGGGAGGGGGCCGGGGGAGCCGTGGTCAAGGCGAGCATGCTTCGACCGTTTCTTTCGCGTTCGCGCCGCGCTCGCAGGCCGAGCCTCCGACCTCTGTCGCATCCGAATCGTCCCTAATCGCCGAATCCCCCTACGATCGGCGATGATTCCACCAAAAATTCCAAAATTTTTAGCACATTTCTAGGAATAAATGAGGACTTATCTGTAACAATAGCGGATGTGAAAAATTACCTTTGCGAAACACATTCAAAAAACTATTTTGGCATCAAGAAAATTTTGAGAAAATACTGGAGATGTGTTCTTCGAGATCTGTACATTATGCCAGAGCCAAACATATTAAATTTTTGTGTGAACAAAACAGTTTTTTAAGCGTGTTTCGAAAAGGTAATTTTTCACATCCGCTATTGTTACAGATAAGTCCTCATATAAGGGGCTGAGATTTGATAATGACATTTCCAAACTGCAAAATTGTTAAAGCAGCAGTCTCATATTTTCCATGAAACAAGTGTTTTCACGGACAAGCCAGGAATAGAGTGCGTTGAGCAGATAGGAACCAAGCCACATCAGCTGTTGCGATTTCTAGGTTTAGGCAATTTCATTTTTTACAAGAAAACGGGTTTGCGAAATTTTGCATTTCGCGCAAATTTCAGTGAACTTTCTGCATAGTACGAAACAAATTTTCCAAGGCATCCGTACAAATTAATGTTCTCTTGTAAAAAGTTAAATTGCCATAGATTTGAACTTATTTGAGCCATTAATCGAAGCTTATGGTTTCTATGCTGGTATTGCGCCAGAAATAGACTAATTACATTTGAGGGGCCTGGAGGACAAGGTGCATAAGTGCAGTTTTTGAAAAATTCGAGATATTAATGAGTTCAAGTAAAACTAGTCTGAACGCATACTGTGTGAAATATTCGCTTCCGAAGTCCAATTTTTCCGCAACGAAAAGTCAGTTTAAAATTTCTTTCCGCCATAAGGATCTGTGTAATTTCGAAACTTCAAACACGTATTTCTCAAAATAGCAAAAACTGCACTTGTTATCCTCCAAGCCCCTCAAATGGACGTATTTCTATCAAACGGAACTAAGCGCCAATTTGAGTTCCTTTTGAGGAATTTAGAATCCCGGATAGCGCGTTCTGTCAAACGGACCTAAGCGCCATGGAAAAGCATTGCGAGTATGGGACGGAATAAGCCGGACGCCCGATTCCGCCGCCAATCCGAGTCCCCCTCTACCTTCCTCACCCTATGGCGCTTAGGTCCGTTTGATAGAAATACGTCCAAATGTAACTAGTCTATTTCTGGCGCAATAACAGCATAGATACCATGAGTTTCAATTAATTGTTCAAATAAGTTCAAATCTATGGCAATTTAACTTTTTACAAGAGAACGGATGCCTTGGAAAATTTGTTTTGTACTATGCAGAAATCTCACTGAAATTTGCACAAAATGCAAGAATTCGCAAGCCCGTTTTCTTGTAAAAAATGAAATTGCCTAAACTTAAGAAATCCCAACAGTTGATGTGGCTTGGTTCCTTTCTGCTCAACGCAATCCATTCCTGGCTTGTCCATGAAAACACTTTCACGGGACAAATGAGACTGCTGCTTTAACAATTTTGCAGTTTAGAAAAGTGTCTGCCATGTTTCAATGTAGATTTTACAATAAATGAATGCTAATTTAACCACCCCTGTGGTTAAATTAGCTTCTCACTACTGTAAAAGTACTTTGAAACATGTCAGACATATTTTTTAACAATTCAATTGCTAAATCAGCAATCCATTTCTTTCCGTAGAATAAGTGTTTTCATGGACAAGCCAGGAACGGAGTGCGTTGAGCAGAGAGGAACCAAGCCACATCAGCTATTGCGGAATATAACTAGGCAATTTCATTTTTTACAAGAAAACGGGTTTGCGAATTTTTGGGCGAATATCAGTGAATTTTCCGCTTATTACGAAACAAAGTTTTGAAGAAATCCGCTCAGACGTTCTCATGTAAGAAATTAAACTGCCCAGTTTTTGGCAATAGCTGATGTGGCTAGCGTGGGATATCCCTCCATTTTGGCCTCAACTTGAAAGCTTTTTTTGAGCTTGGGAGTTGATTTCAGAGAAAACCAGTGGCATCATCGTGTTTCTTGCAAACTTTTACATAAGAATCAACGGTCAAATCGCAAATTCCTCACACATGCAACATCTCCATCGCGCCAAACAGCGTGGTCGGCGTCAAACGCATATTAACGCCTTCAAGACAGAATGAATACTTCTCGCACTGCACCAAACGCAATGCGAGGGTTATTCGGATCGCATTTAGCAAAAATGAACCAGCGCAATTACAGTGTCGTAATGATGTTGCTTCTGCATAAGTATCTAAAAAATATCCCAGAAGAGCAAATGGTTTTTGCTTCCCTTCAAAAAATTGTAAATTTTAAAGGAAAACTATTCTGTAAACATTGCCACCAATCATCCGAAAAACTCTCAGAGACCGTTGAGATCATTAAAAATCGACCAATTTTATTACACTCATATAAAAAAGGTAATACTCATTTTAATGTTAGGCGAGTGTTAGGCAAGCTAGCCGTAAGTGTTATCCCCAGCATACTTTCTTCGTTGCGTTTTGAATACTCAAGAATCCGCAAAAGTTTTCCTAGCGCTACGCTAAATGCGCAAGGTCAAAATCAACGCTTTGATACAACTATTCGTACTCCATGGATGTCTGTGTTGTACATGCGAAGAAATGAAGGCGTTTCTTACGCTCACTACAGTGAGGTGCTTACGGCACTAATGACAACGCCTTCAAGCAACTATTCGTACTCTATGGATGTCCGTATTGCATATGACAAATATTGAAGGGGCTTTACTTTTTTATCACGTTCGCAGTCTCAACGAGCGAAGATCGAGGGAGACTGCAGAATTGATGAAACAGCAGGGATGCAACCTTACACACTGTATGGATGATCATTGTTCATGGTGGTCAAAAAGGGAAATTCCTAGGTGAAGACAAATGAGTGAATATCCTAATGACATCAATAAGTTTTTCACCAAAAGAACCGGAGATAGAGTGAGAAAAAGTGAGATTTTTCGAATAAATCACCAGTAAATCTGAAAATCAAGTTCAGAAATCAACCGCATCACAAAAAATTTGAATTCAGCGATGACGCCAGTATTTTAATGACTATGAATTGGACGTATTTCTGCCAAGCGGAACTATGTGCATTATAACACAAGAGCCCTGAAATCCATAAGAATATATGCACAACAGAGCTCTAGTCATAATGCAGATAGTTCCGATTGGTAGAAATACGTCCAATTATCTCCCACAACGACTTTGTGACCTCCAAGATTTAGAATGGATCGAATAAAATAGTTGCCACTGCTTATCTCAAATTATTATTTCTGGAGCTCAAGTCTTTTTGAGATAGCCGATTCAATTCAGGAACAACTTTAATGTCATAGTTTCACCATGGAGGAAGGTGATTTCATGGATAAGCCTAAAATAGTACTCATCTTAGATATTGAAAATATATGATCCTTTATGACAGAATAAGGGGCTTATACCGTCGTACGGACGTCATGACGTAAGCTCTGTTATGCATATAATCTTACGGGTTTCAGGGCTCATGTCTTGATGCACATAGTTCCGTTTGACAGAAATAAGTTCGTAGTATGGAAGAATCCTGTATGAACCTTCAAACGTTGCCAAATTTCCTTTCATAATACATGAATTTTCGGAAAAATGTATTAATATTTTTCTTCCACATTTGTACAGGAATTTCATCGTAATTTGATCAAAAGTTTCTGAAAATTACAAGAAAAAATATCCAATTTTTATTTTCATAAACACATCTTTTCTAAGAGGACATTTTGCAGCTTTCGCATGTTCATACGGCCTTATTTCATGACGCGGCAGAATATAAGTCGAATTTTTAGTATATTGCCATCATCTTTGCCTCTTTCAGCGGCGCAGTTGTTCAAAGAAGTCTGCAGAATATCGATCAAACCCGTAACGTCACACGATTCGTCGCTTTCCTGACATAAGGGCGTAACCACACTCGACGATGAGCCCTGTCATCCATATAACTCAAAGCTTTCTCGGGCTCATATCAAATTGTAGTTACGCCTTTTTGTCAGTCAAGCGACGTATTGTTCACCGCTACGCCCATACCCGCACGACACCACACAGGCGATGGTAACGTTCCTTTGAGACTCGCGCGAGACATGCTGTCATGTTAAGGGAAGAACGTCGAATGAGCCTTGAATGCCTCCTTGATGTACCTCGATCCTTCCTTATAAAATATTGATATCTGCGGAAAATTATTAATATTCGTCATCGAAATTTTCTGATACTTCAGATCGAACTACGAATAATATGCTCTGCGAAACGAGAGAAGAAAAATCAACACGTGTCCGAGAAAACGTGTCTTAGATCAATGGAAACCTCTGCCGTACTAAGGAAAACGCCGTATGAGCCTCCAGACGTTGCCAAGTTTCCTCCTATAAAAACCGAAAATACTAGAACATTGTGAATATTATTTTCCAAAAATTTCAGAGAATTTCGTACGCAATTTAATCTAAAATATCTGACAGTCTCGAGGACAAATATGCATGAATGTTGTCAAAAATAAATGTTTTATCCAGGGAAATTTGGCAGCTCTCGAATATTCATACGGCGCTTTTCCTCAACACGGCAGACTTGGCAACGTCCCGCGGGACATACGCCGTTCTTCCTAAAAGTAAAGAATGGGCGGGAAGCGAGCGCGCGCCTCGGCTCAAGACGTCTCTCCTTTAACGTAAGGACGTATATTTATTCCCACTTGAGACCCAGAAACCATGGAGTTATATGGCGAATAGGGCTCACGTGGAAATCGAGATGCGTCCTTACGTCAGAGCAGCAACGAAG